ATATATATATATATATATATATATATATATATATATATATATGGATTTATGGCAACGCTTTGGATCGTTGTACATAAATGCATTACATATTGTACCATGTCGCAAGTGTTTAACTGGATTAGGGTTCATGTTCATCCTATCTCCAAAACGGACTTCACGGAAAATCATACAAAATGGTGTCTTGGCGGTTCAATTTTCCGGTAATCGGCGACACATCACGGCTTATGCATATTGGAAGGACCATATCTCCGATGGTGGCGGTTTCTTCCTCCTCTCATCTTCATCAACGGTCTCTCAGGTAGAAATAATTTGATTGTTATGTATCTATCTGTTCATGCAGACTACTTTTTAACGTTAAGACCTACTAAACGTCTTGATTCAGGCCAAAGAATTGAGTGATGATTAGTAAATTAAAGAACATTTTGAACCTAAATACTTCACGTCAAATTTGAACTTCAGCTAAAAAGTGGAAAGGATTACTTTTGGGGGAAGAACGAGTACAAAACTTGAGGACATTGTATCATTTTACGTCAATTCCAACTAAATAAGGAATTGCTGTTGTGAAGTGGAATTTAATTTTGGAACGTAATGAAGCAGTGTTTGTTCTTATAAACTTACCAGTTTCAGATGATGTTCATGTGTAGATATGCGGTACTTGGTGCGGGCTTTGCTGGATTATCAGTGGCATGGCATTTGCTGGAAGTACCCCCCCTTCTCTCTCTCTCTCTCTCTCTCTCTATATATATATATATATATGTATGTGTGTGTGTGTGACACATTCTTCTTTCTTACATACATCACACCACAGGGGGCCTAACAGATGTTTGAGTGGTTTACAGTAATTGAAGAGAGTACATGCATTTTCATGAATTTTGAAGAAATAAGTTATTGATTTGTTAAAGTTTTCTTATTGGGACTTGCTCTTGCAGCAAAGTCCTATCGAGTTGCATATTTGCATCGATGTTCTGGATGAGGTTGGAATTGGGGGTGGTGCTTCTGGAGTGTCTGGAGGGCTACTTCATCCTTATTCTCCTAAAGGTTACAAATTGTTATGATTCTGCATTGCATTCATTTTGTTAGGAAAATATTCCCTTTTTATTTCAATATTTGGAAGTGTTAACAAGTCTGTTTCTGCAGTTAAGCCTCTTTGGCGGGCAGCCGAGTGCTGGGAAGAGAGTTTAAGGCTTTTAAGCATTGCTGAAACAGCAATAAGTTCAAAGGAATTGGGTTTGAACAATGGAGAACTTGCTCAGAATTCTAATGGGTTTATTGCACGGAGAAGGTTTTGCCCTCAATCTTCGGTGTGTATATGTCTGTTTCTAAATATAGAATTCTTCCTAGTTGGCAAGTCCATTTATAAGTCCTTATACGTTTTGATCAATAGCGTTGCATGAATCCAAGAAAGTGTACGTGACACAAAAGACTTTTGGGACCATGCAAAGTTATGTTCAAATGTGTTCTACTCCATAATTTACATGGGTTTAGAATTACTCCATCGGTTGCAATAAAGATACAATGTTTGATTTAACACATAGTTTAACAGGACTGTTTGACTAATAATTAAATACCTAAAAATGTCCCTTAATAACACGTAATTGAGAAAAATTGTGGATCAAATCAATGCCACTAACAGACAAATGGGTACAATTTGGATTCTGATCTTATGTAGATGTTGTGTTTTATGTCAGACAACCCAAAATGGAAGGTGTTTCATTTGTCATTGGTGGGGAGGAGTAAATTTTTTGAATTAAAGCATCAAATTAGGGCTCTATTTTACATTTGATTTTCATGTTTTGGAACTTTCATTGCACATTACACGAGGTTTTACCACAAGAATTTTCTGTGCAAAATCACACTGGAGAATAGTAGTTGCAGGAAACAAAAGATCAAACACACTATGTATATAATTTAGAAAATTTGCATGTATACAGTCATTGCTAGATTCTTGTTATACCTTTTGGATCTTTGTAGTACATACAACAAAAGAAGGCAGATATAACATTGATAAGATGGAGAAACCTTATCTGTACCGTTTTCTTACAAATCTGGGTCTACACAGTTGTGCTTTAGTGTACAGCCGATATCAAGCTCCATATCCAACTATAACCTATGATGGAACTTATTCTCTTCAGGGGTATACTGAGACCAGCAATCAGCTTGAAGAACATGAGCATAATGAATGATGTAAGTTCCCTAAATTAGCAAATGGTAGACCAAAATAAAGTACACTTAATGGGCACATAATTATTTCTTTTTCATACTAGAAGAATGCTCAAAACTCTCTGGCCGGTTGCAGAGTACAGTGTATCAATGAAGATGAAGCCCGAACTTTAGTGCCGAATATTTGTGTACCTTCCAACTCGGCCTTTTATATGCCTGATGCTGTAAATGTACATCCCCAAGGCTATCTTGAGGTATGGAGACTCATGCATCATGAAAACGTTTTCTGACCACTTCCCATTGTTTCTTATATCCATAGGTCTTATTATGTTGAAATTTCACCATGACTAGGCCCTATATGTAGCTTGTGACACTCTAGCAAAAGACATGTCTGCTGCGGGTCTTGGTGAAAAAGAGATAAACTTTCACAAGAGGTCCATTGGCAATCTCCTTGAACTAGAAGGTAACATATGTAATATATGTTAATTTATATCTGTGCTGTTGAAATGTTTTGTTATGAAGTCTGTAGTTCTTACACTTCTTAAATCTTAATCATAACATTCCTCCTTAAGACCAGCTATAAATTTGTACGTGCAATGAGGTTTTGTAGAACGGCCAAATTTTGGTGTTAGGTCCACTTGAACATAAGGATTTACCTTGTAAACAGTCCACCATCTTGTGGCAAACTCCTTTCTATGACGAAGTCTCACCAAGTCGAGTTTCAAGACCAATATTTGCATGTCCAATATTTGGTGCCAAATGCCCAGCTCAAATTCAGTAGATTTGATGTAGTTACTTCCATCCTGATCTGAAAATAAGATTCACCAATTTGTCTTGGCCATTTGACATTTTCATTTTGTGGGTCTCATCGTATAAGGTTTTCTTTAAAATGTCCATTCATTTGCTATATCCTCGTTTTGCTCTGTAGACTTCGTGGTGGTACAGTGTGGTGCTGATTTTGTACTTTAATAGATGCTCAAGAAGCAATCTGATTACATGCTCCTTTTCAGGGGAGTACGATGCAGTTATTGTATGTCTGGGTGCCAGATCCACGTTCCTCCCAGAGCTCTCAGGAAGGCTGCCGTTGAGGACTTGCAGAGGCATCACCGCCCACTTGCATCTGCCTGACAATATCAGGTATTTACTGAAACAATCGACCAAACATGACTAGCACTATATAGGATCGTAAGATTCTGTTTGTATGTGCCTGCACTCGTGTTTTTTTTGGGGGGGTGGGGGTGGAATGCAATGGGTGGATCGCAAAAATTATTAGATGCCAAAATGGGATCCTTCTTAAATAAAGTGGTTATTTTTTGAACCATCTTACTTTGCTTCTTTTTGCAAAAAATCATTGTTCATGAGAAAACAAAAAGAAATATAAAAAAACTTGAAAGAAGTGTTCTGAACACGCGAGAGGTTTTCTGGACAGGATAGGGCGGGTGAAAGAATTGTGCAAGGTTTTTGGGTTTTACTTTGACATGAGTAGCTTAGTAATTTACCATAATTTTGTCTTATCTCACAGATTTTTCCCCACCTACTTCGGTGATGGGGCAAACAATGCATGTTTGTCCCATTCAGTCCTGTTCTGTTGCAGTCTAAATGTCACCCCAAACTTGAGACATTTTTTGTCCCGTCCTGTCTGGCGTTCCAAACTCACCGTCAAGACTCCATTCATTTTGCCACTGTTTTACCTCCATTCTATGTTGGAAATCAAGATGAACCATTTTGTGGGTCTCATCTAATTTCTGTCTTTGATTGATCACTACCATGATTATATGCATTAAAGGTGAAGTTGATATTTTCTTGATCAATATATTTCAGAGAAGAAGTTCCAGAACACAGTCCCTCAATCTTGTCAGATGCATGGCTTGCCATCCAGAATCCTCGAAACTTATACATGGGTTCTACGTGGGAATGGAAATCTTGCAACTATGCACAAAATGTGTCGATGGAGGAAGCTTCAAAAGCTTTGGAAGAACTTTTGCCGAAAGCAGCTGCAATATATCCAGGCATAACGAAATGGGCTTTTGAAGGAGCAAGCGCAGGTCTAAGAGCAATGCCACCTCTAACAGGTAACGGTTCTCTTCCACTTTTAGGTTGTATAGATGATTTTATCAGCCAAACTCATGCGAGCAAGTTCTGGTTATTTTCTGGCCTCGGCTCTAGAGGTCTGTTGTATCATGCTTGGCTTGGGAAACTGATGGCAAAAGCTGTGCTGGCTTGTGATGAGGGAGTAATACCCTCTGAATTGACCTCTTGGAGATCAAACCTAATCAAGAAAGGATAGTAGTTTTTCTTTGTAGTGTTCTTGTTGAAACTTAGTTTGATTGATTTAATATTATAAACAGCTATTGGAAATACTTCCAAAGATATAGGTCTGAGTACATCTTACTATTTCCAGACCCCACCTGGATGAGTTGATCTCCTCAAACCTTCACAAAAACACACATACGAAACCTTCTAAGTGGTCTCATAGGTGTCACGCAAATTGGGTGGTCTGACCGGAACCCATTTATAGGTCGGGGTCTGTGTATGCACAATATAATTAAAGAACACTAATAATTAATTACAAATACAAAACAGTAACTGATATACAGAATTACCATACTACTGCATCACCCACTAGTACCTTACTCTTGGTCACTAATGTTTCCATCTACAACAGTCAAAACCATCCTCTCTACCTATAAGCATTTCCTATATGCTTTCCTGCTACCAAATAAAAGGAATAGGAAAAAAAAGCTATCAAAAATTAAATCCAAAAAAGCATATTCAAGATTCTTTCTGCTCCTATGCTTCCATGGAGTTTTAGAGATCTTTTTCCCTACCAGATTTCTTCCACAGTGTGGTGGTAGCAATGGCCAATCCCTGCAGCCTCACCTTTGACTCCACATGCCCTAATACACAAAGTTTGTCATCAAGAGATGGAGATCATGATGCAAAGTTCATGAAGAAAGGTTACAATTTATAACAAACAGAAGGTATATGCCACCGTCTGGAGCATCTCCACAGTCAAAAGGTTACAATTTTAGCTTCAGGTTATCGGAGATCATAGCCATAGAGGGTTGTACCTTGAGAGTTTACTACATTTGGCTGCTCGTTCATCTTAGGGGCTGTTTACCAAACTGTTACATGGTAAGCGCTTTCTGGATTTCACTTACCTATTTAGGTAAGTATGACAAAGACCGAGAATCTTATCCATAAGTGAGAGAGAAGACTCTTACCCGATAAGACCTTACTAGGTAAAAGACGCTTATTAACAATCCATTTTGATGGCCAAGAATATTATCCGATAGGGTAAGTAAGGGTTGTTTTCTTGCCGGTAAGCGTTCGGTAAACGACCCCTTAGTAACTATCCAAAAGTTGACTTGTACTCCTCCATTCCAAAATAAATGTCCACAATAAAAAGGCACACAATTTTATAATTGTGTTAATCATTACATTTTCTTTAATTAACTAAATGACAATTGTACCCTTAACAATAGAAAGAGTATGAATTTCTCCATCTCATAGTTAAGGTTAGAATTGAAAAGTAGACAATTACTTTTAAAAGTGAATACTTATTTTGGGACAAACTGAAATAGAAATATGGACACTAATTTTAAGATTGGGGGAACTATTTTACCTTTTACAGTTATCTGGAGTCTCCTTTCAATGCTGAATGGATGATGAACTTAAGGATATCAAGAGGGAAGTAGGTAATGATACTGAAGACCCAGATCACTGCAGCCCATCGCCACCCGACTCCCTTAATCTCTGCAAAATCCCAATCTGAATATACAGCGAGCAATGTAGCCAACTGAAAAAAGAAACGTAAAATGTTACAAAAATCCATCAATGAGTTTTTTTCCAAAAACTGGGAGATGTTATGGTACTTACTATCTGAGCTACTACGAATGCAAGGATTAGCAAGGTGCTAGGGCGGTCAAGAAATGACCAACTTCGAGACCTGGTCACGAAGATAAGCGCCTGGCTGATGATGCTCACTTGGAGGTACAGTGCCGCAGTGATCTCATCATCATTTCCGACGATGGAGTGAACACCACAGAGTTTCTATGAAAAATGATTACGTATTTTGAGAAATTTTGATTCTAGAGTTACCATCAATGAACCAAAAACAAATGAACCCAGTATCACCCACTTAGAGGTGGAGTCTGGAAGATATGTTGTATGTAGCCTTGATCTCTACCCCAAGGAGGAGGGCGTCGGCTTCTAAAAGGTACCCATCAAGCCATTTAGCTCAATGACCTAAGTTTTCACGGGAGTAGGCTGTTTTGAACCAGACACATGTCAGATGAAAGCTTATTGAGCTAAAGATTCAGATGGTTATGCTTCTAATAAGTGAGTTTTCAGTTAGGAGCATATGACCTTCTAATTTCTTTTAGCTCAATGACTGTTACCTGTTGACGTGTCCCTCGTTCAAAACAGTCTGCTCCTGTAAAAGCAAAACCGACTTATTGAGAAGGTCATTAAGCAGTTAAGCTAAATAGTGGGTTAAAAATGTATGGTGAATGGAGATAGGTGATTATGGATTATACGACTTACAGATAAGAGGTCGGTTTTGGCTGTGAGCCAAAAGAAGGCGACGGTTACAAGTGCAAGATAAGTTCCAAGGATAATACCGGTGGCGAAGATTTCGTTGAGCTTCCACGAGTCGGGGACAGGTGACGGCTCAACTATATCGGTGGAGATCATCATGATGGTGCTGTCATTTAGGATGGCGATGATGAGGATCATGAACGGCGAGAAGTCGAACTTCCATATGAGAGTGATAAGCATGAACCCCATCACGATCCGGATGGTGATGGAGACAGCATAGATCGTGTAGTTTTTCATCCTTTGGAAGATGGTTCGGCTTGTCAGTACAGCACTCACGATCACGTTGAGTCCTGGCTCGGTCAGGATCATATCGGAAGCGCTCCTGGCTGCGTCTGTGGCATCAGCCACCGCGATTCCGATGTCGGCCCGCTTGAGAGCCGGTGCATCATTGACACCGTCTCCGGTCATACCGCAGATGTGATTCCTCTCTTGCAACCTTTTGACGATCTCATACTTGTGCTCTATAAGATCAAAGAATTCATGTTAGTTTGCAAGTTAAAGCAATCACAACTCTTCGGTTTTCCCTCCTAAATTTTTTCGAAAACCCTTGTTTTTTCCCCTCATTTCCCTTTGATGCTTTCGTTAAAAATGGACGGTTATTTTCGGATAAGGAAATATGAATTAATTATTTACCGGGGAAAACTCCTGCGAAGCCATCAGCCTTCTCGATGAGAAGATCGATGGAAGCGTCGCTATCATCATTCTGTTGTCCAAGAAGTGAAGAAGAAGGATACATATCGGTGCCCATGCCAAGTCTTCTGCCGGTTTCCTTGCCGATAGCGAGCTGATCACCGGTGATCATCTTCACTTTAACACCGAGTTCCAAAGCCTTACGGATCGTCGCGGCGCTGTCGTGTCTTGGTGGATCAAAAAGCGGCAACAATCCGATAAACTCCCACGGTGTTCCTGGGCTCTCCTTCGTCTTCTCCGGCACCTTTTGACGAGCAACACCTAAGGAACGAAGACCTCGGTTCGCGAATCCTTCGATGATATCGTTCGCCTTCTTTAGTGTTTCACCCTTGAGATCACAAAGTTCGATGATCTTCGAAACATTTAACCAGCATCCGTTAGCGATTTCGAAATCGAATTTGAAATCGGATAGAAAACGCACAAAATCAAGCGATTCATTACTTGTTCTGGTGCACCCTTGCTTAATCGATGCCAACTGCCGTCACCGTCGATGTAGGTGATGGCGGTGCGCTTGTCCACCGGATTAAATGGCAGGAAGTGAACCTCTTTGATTCCAGCACGCGCCTCTTTAGGATCACCCAGCATGTTGACGATGGAAGCATCAATGGCGTCCTGGTTTTCGATCCTTGAAGCTCGAGCTGCGTACAACACCACCATGTCCTTATCGCAATCCTTTACGAAAACCTGTGTAAAATTACAGTTCTGCCCTTTTAGACCATGCTCAAGTGGCTGAGTCGTTACTTGGACCCTCATAGTTTCAATTTCTCTCTTTGTTCGTTAACAATTATTACAAGATATTTGATTTATATGGTTTTTAGTGGACTTCTTTTTTCGGTTTTGTGGTTTGAAGCTAATTTGATTGAGAAAAACAGACCTCGATTAAGGATTTGTCGACGGTTAGCTTGTTAAGAGTTAGGGTACCCGTTTTGTCGCTACAAAGGACATCCATGCCGGCCATCTCCTCGATGGCAGTCATCCTCTTGGTGATTGCACCTTGTTTTGAGAGGTGGTGAGCCCCTATCGCCATCGTAACTGACAAAACCGTAGGCATCGCAATCGGGATACCTCCGATGAGAAGAATCAATAGATTATCGATACCATCTCTATACGTTCTTTGTTGTATCGAATACATCACCACAATCTCGATGGCCATTCCGATGGCAATTGAGCATATGCAGAAGTTACCGATGTCAGTCAATACCTGGTAAAGATTTCAAATTTGTAATAAGAACCAAAATATTAAACTTGTATCTAAGGGTTTGATTACTGATTAGTGATATTTGTCTCTTAATAGTGGGTAAGATTCACTTATACTACAGTTCTAAGCGACTTCGGTGCTTATCGAGTCAGCCATCGGTATGTCATTGACCAAGTCAATCAGGCAATGCTAACCCAAATTTAGGCATGGTGATTTGCCTTGCCCCGTTGGGGAACCCGGTTCACCCAAGCACATGCTACAAAGTAATTGGTAAACAACCATTTTCAGTTAGCGTCTATCTAAACCGAACCTCTTACCCGGTTAACACTTATCCAATTTTGTTATCGGTAAATGGTCCCAAGAAAACATGATGTATGCATTAATTATTGTACCTTTTGAAAATGGCCAACTTGATTGGTGTTCTCAACAAGGTGTGCCGCCTTCCCGAAGAAGGTGCGGACACCGGTGGCGATGACGATAGCCTCGATCTCGCCTTGCTTGCACGTTGATCCCGAGTACACTACCTCGCCAGGATTCTTGTTCACAGGAATGGATTCACCGGTGAGTGCAGACTGATCAATCTTTAAAGTGTCACCTTCAAGGAGACGAACGTCAGCCGGGATTATATCACCGAGCTTGACGTTCACTATGTCTCCCGGAACCAAGATGGATGCATCTTGCTCGCTCCATTTTCCGTTGCGTAAAAGCTTGGACTTCGGGGCTAGTCCCGCCATCAACGCGGCAGCAGCATTGCCGGCATTGTTTTCCTCAATAAAACTGATGGTCGAGTTTATGAGAAGTAGCACAACGATACCGATGAAATCCGGCCAATCCGGTGGCCGGCCACCGCCATTTGCTAAAACAACGGCCATAATTGCTGCAAATTCCATGACCCATGAAAGAGGATTCCACATGAACCCTAAAAACTTGAGGAATTTATTTTCCTGTTTCAAATGTTATATATCATATTAGTAACGATTTAAATACAAGTTGTATCGATACGGGGCCTGTCTTCTACGTGTTTATTGTTTCATAAAATGAAAATAAAGACAAAAACGTTCTTTTCTTCTTGAGCCGCTTAGTCCGAAGGTTCTGAGCCTTTGGCCCCTCCAATCACCAAAACGTCGAAAATGGAGTGTGTGTTGACAAGGGTTTGGTTTCGGTTTCCGTTGCTTATATTTGTCATTATGATCGAAGTTACTTGAATCGTTTGAGAAGGGAAGATATGATGAGAAACGTAAGAAATGATCTGAACTATTGATCATTTTTAATCTCATGCTCATCTATGAATTGCACTTCAGAAAAGAATTGATTTGGTGCATCTCGGTGCACCTCATTAATGTTGACATTCAATTAGGATTGATCTCATTATAACTTCGTCTTCTTAGATCTTACAGTTAATATGGTACAAACAGACTGAAACAAAGAAAAAAGATGAAACAACATGCCTTTTTCTCCTCAAGCTTATTGTGGCCAAAGATTTCGAGCCTCCTATTCCCTTCCTCGTCAGTCAACCCATCCTCCGTACAATTTAAAAGCGTGAAAACGTCTCCGATAGGAAGGCTCTCAAGATTAACTTCGCTATTTTTAATTTCATCTAAGGAATTATTAGCCATCGTGATGGCTATAAAAAAATTCAAAAAGAAAAAAAAAAACAGATGGTTATCGGACCTCGCTAAAATCCCTCTTTAGGGAGGTTCCTCCACTATGTTTATGGACATAGCAGAGGTCATATACTTTACGAACAGAGGAAAAATGCGAAAGCCCCTTTTTTTATTGCAAAAAGTGCCTTTCGATTTTCCCACTTCTTTCCTAACAAAATTTCTTCTTGAAATTCTTTTGACTTTTTAAAGTAAGTTCCCTTTTTGTCCCCCATCCCCAAAAATTTAGGGTTGCAATTAGCAATCAAGGGTAATCCATTGTTTTCTTGCCTAAAACTTGGACCTCTTGTTATGATTTTTTTTTTGTTAGGTTATAATACCTTTAAAAAACTTGTGGTTATAGATTAGAATTGGAGCCAGATAATTATATAGTTGTTTTTTGTAAGAAAATGATAATAAAGTAATTTTGTGAGAGTTTTTGCAGTATGTCTAAATATTCCTATGTATAAAGAAAGTTGTGGGTCGCTTACTGTGTTGGTACATTGACCAAAGACAGTGTTGAACGCAGAGTATTTGTTTTAATTTTGCTTATTTCATCCTCGAGTAAAGAAACGCTCATGTGGCATTGTGTGTGTGTGTGTGCAAATCACATTGGTTTTTTCATTTACAGTCTTGTGATGAACTTTCGGCCCTTCCCATTTTCCATGTCATCGGATGCTTAATCGAATCCTCAAGTAAATTCTACACTCAATATATTGATTCTTTACGTCTTTTTTTAATCACTATAAACTCACATTTACATTTATTATGTAAATGTGAAAGAGTAAGAGAGATGCAATTCTGAAAATGAAATAATATTTGAACGAAAAGTTGATTACAGACAACCCCAACTGGCCCCTCATTGAATCCGCCTCTAAAGACAACTTTTTAAAACAAGTTGAATTTTTTCCATTTTGTATTCATTTTGTATTCATTTTGATCAGTATTATAAAATGATTAAGAAAAAAGTTATTCGTTACACTAAATAGAAACTAAATCAAACTTTGTTGCGTTAAATTAAAAAGTAACACTAAAATGTTAAGGAAATATCAAAACCTTTCAAGGGGATTTGAGGGTAGGATTGATTGGAGAATTGATCATGAAGAAGATGAAAATTGGAGCCAAGCTACTATAAGAAAATGAAATAACATAACTAGTCCTTGTACTATAAATATTAGCATTAATAACACTAACATCGGGCAGAGTTGAATTTTGAAAATTTATGCATAAAGTAAAAGCATGAAACCAAATTTCGATTCGGTTTTAATTGAAAACAAGAATCAGAATCGAGCCTGTGATGCAACCCTGAATACCCAAAGTTCAAAATTACGTATGGCAGGAGGATTCGGATTGAAATTTGTAATCCCTTCCATTTTCTCCTATATACCTTGTCCTCTAGATATAACATTATTGTGGTTCGTCTTTGTAGCTAACAGAGCAAGCAAAACCCAAAACTCTCCAAACCCTTCTCTCATATCTAATGCTCTAACCGTTATATTTCCAATTCAATCTTTAATTCAAGAATGCCTCGAACTTCGAAGAGGAAGTCAGACATCGTAAGATCATCTCAAGTCGGTCTTGGTTAGTAAACATCAAGATTACTTTTCTTGATTTCCCATGTTGAGATGATCTTGTGGTGTTCGATTACCTCTTTGAAGCCCGAGGCATTTTTAATTTGAAGATTAAGTTTTCAAGATCGAACAGAAAATATAACAGCTAGAGCATTAGCTAGGAAAGAAAGTTTTGGGGGGTTTTTTGGTTTTCTCTGTTAACTATGAAGACAAACTACTGCAACGTTGTCTGATGAGGGTGGATTTTATAGGAGAAAAGTGGAAGGGGTTACAAATTTCCATTTGGGTCCACCTACTGTAGTTAATTTTAAAGTGATTATTACAATATTTAAGTTTAAAAACTAAAATAAGATGTTTAAAAAATATTTAATTAAAGATATATGATTCAAATCCAGAAATCACATTAAGCAGTCAAAGGATAAATCAGCAGAGAAATACAGCTTTCACATTTGGTTGTTAGATTGTAGTAGTTGCATTCAAGTATATCTCAAATCTATGTTAGCTGTAACATCCCTCAAAGTTTGAAAATAGCGACAAATTTAAAATTTCTAATAATATATCAAATAAAGTAAACCCCTTTCTATAATAAAATACTTGAATTATCTCGAATACTAAACTAAAATTCAACATCAAGAATTGGTAAACTAAGTCTTGCATAAATTCTAAGGCAAGGTCAGGTGCTACTAAACCACAATTAGTTCGCTATCTCCAAATCCGGAAGATGTCTCCAATTTGCAACTTATTTCTTGTGCCTCTAACTAGCAGACAATTCTTCATAGTATCACTAGTACCGTTCCTCCAACGAGGACCTGATGTACATTTGACAAATAAAAAGGGTTAGGCTTAATGTCTAGTGAGTTCAAGTAGTTTTTATCATAAGTATAAAAGCAGTAAATTAAAAGATGTTATTTAAATCTCAATTTCGAAAAGGAAATGTATTTTGTCAAAAACAATATTCTTTCCAAAACCCATCATTTTCGTGACGAAAACTCATCATGCAAACGTCCATTTATTCATGAGACAAAATCCCAATACTCGCCCAAAACAACGTAAAGCTTAACTCTGGAATGTTGATTGAGTAAATAAAACCATATTATAAAACACTGAAAGCATTGGTACGAATTACTCGAAAACAACACCTTTTCGTGACGGGGGAGACCTGAATCCATCGAACATGGTGGGAACACAAAGTTAAGCCACTTATCAACGTTCTCGAGTTTCATCTAGGGTCATGGATCCCCGTATACGGCTCTATTGAGCACCATCGCAAGATTCCGCTAATGATCGTAGCGTATATTCGACCTCTACATGAGTCTCACCATAAAAGTCACTAATCTCTGTATACGGCTCCAATGAGCACCACTACAAAACCTAAGCCCCATATACGACTCAACTGAGTACCGTAGCAAGCTATAGCTCTATATACGACCCAAAAAAGGTTCCACCGCAAGCTTATTACCAATGACTTGGGGACCCTCACTAGACCTAAGCGGGGACATCAAAACTCCACGCTTAACCACAAGATAGACTCTCATACTTATGGATCTAGTGCATTACAATCTAAAATTACATGACCCACAATTGAATAACAAACGCACGCAAAGGATGTGATATCCAACAAATATGCATTATACGCTAAAGCTCCACATTGAGCTATCAGAACTGAACAATTGACCCTAAAACTCGTTGAGTTAAAACCAAGCCAGAAGGCCACGAAAACACTTGGCTAATTTAAAAAAAGCCAAGGTGACCACATAATCTGAGAAGGCACATTTTTCAACATTTAACAAATACATGGCACTTATGACATCAATAAATCCATAACCAACACTTCATTGAAGTTTGATAGCCAAAACCGAATGGTTTGTATTTCCAAAATTTCCACAAAGCCAAAAGAGACATTTATCAAATATTTATACACTTAAGAGGCAAAAGGGCTAATTTATACGTCTTTGTAAAAAGTTCACAAGTTGGGTAAAGCCCCCAAAACCAAGTCAATAAACACTTTGATTTGTTTAACAACACCAAATGGAATCAGTCTATTATCTCTAAATACGTCTCTCAAGAGTTAACATAATATTTTCTCTCAAATCATCCAAATACCCAACAAATCCCCTTTTCATGAAATAAATATCATTGAGTGACTCAAAACACCCAGTAAATTCTGAACATAGTCTATGAATTTGATAACTAAAATATGTAAATCTTATCAAATACTCGACACATTTAATAAATATCAAGTAATAATTTGTTTGACTTTGAAATACACATTTGAGAAAAGGAAGATAGAGCAAAATGAAGAAACCCTAAGAAAATTGGCTTTTAAACCACCCAGGTGACAAATGCGACTTTGGGGTTTACTTGCTTCAAAGTCACTCGATGGTTCTCAAACATGGATAAAGTAAAAGCATTAAACCAAATTCCAATTCGGTTTTAATTGAAAACAAGAATCGAGCTCGATCGCGCAACCCCCATAGTTTAAAATAACCTATAGCAGGACGACCCGGATTGAAATTTGTAAACCCTTCCATTTTCTCCTATAAACTCATCCTCTAGATATAACACTATTGTTGTCCATCTTTGTAGCTAACAGAGCAAGCAAAACCCAAAACTCTCCAAACCCTTCTCTCATATCTAGTGCTTTAACCGTTATATTTCCAATTCAATCTTTAAATTTTGATCTTTAATTCAAGAATGTCGCGAACTTCGAAGAGGAAGTCAGACGTCGTAAGATCATCTCAAGTCGGTCTTGGTTAGTAAACGTCAAGATTACTTTTCTTGATTTCCCATGTTGAGATGATCTTATGGCGTCTGTAACACTAGAGATTTTCTTCAAAATATTTGTTCCGTTCACGTCAAGGGTGTCCGTCTCTTTATCGATATTATGTGTTATATATATATATATATATATATATATAAGAAGAGTTTTCAACCTTTAATTTATTAAGTTTTCTTTTATTTCAAATGCAAAAAAAAAATATAAAGAAAGGGGGGGGAGGGGGGGGGCCTGCAGTCCTAAGACCCTACTAGGTCCTACCCTCAAAAGAAAAGGGGGAAAAAGAAAAGCAGGAGGTGAGGTCATTTTTCTTCTGCATTTTTTTGAACGAAAAGAAAAGAGAGGAAAAAGAGGAAAAAGGAAAGGGGGAGGGGAAATCAGTGGGTTTGGTGGGAAGAAGGAACAACCATGGCTGCTGGAATAGTAGAAGAAGAAACAGTCGCAGCTGTTTGGTGGAAATAGACGCAGCCGTGGCTGCTGTTGGAGGAAGGAAACAGGAGCGGCACAGCCGCTGTTTGGGAGGAAATAGACGCAGCCATAGCTGTTGTTTGGAAAGAGAACAGAAACAGCATAGCTGCTGTCCGGAAGAGAGGCAGCCAACTGCTGTCTTGGGCTCGTCTAATCGCCGGTCTCGA